CTGCTGCGCGAGGCCCATGCCAGTTCTTTGCGTTGTGACCACCGGTACCCGGACCAGGACCACGACCTGGACCTGTGAGGAAGGCGGGTGCAAGACCCTGGCTCCCCCTCAGAGCGGCCTAAACTGCACTGGCCACTGGTGGCCCCAGAGTCCTGCAGCTGCTCCCCTGGAGTCCGGAGACCCCGGCGGAGGGGCCGGGTGTTTGTGGGGGTGGGTGCAGGGATGCGGCAGGAGTAGACCACGTGCCTTGGTGTCTCTAGACCCCGGGCGTCCTGGGCCCCCAGGGCCCCCAGCCTGATCCTCCCAGGGCCACAGCCAGCCCTCCGACCCCGGAGGCCCAGCAGGCCGCAGACCGACTTGGTGTGGTAGTGTCCCATGCTGGTGGTCCCAAAGCTCCGGAGGTCCTCCGTGGCGCCACCACGTGGACCCCTCCCCCCCCAGGGGTGCAGGGCCAGGCCAGTGCCCCGCCTAGGGAGAGGGGCCCAAGGCGCTGGCCTGGAGTACAGGCCAGACACAGCAGCCAGGCTGGGGCTGTGGAGATGCAGCCCCCCAGACTGCCAAGTCTGAGAGTTAGGAGTTGGGGGGTGTTCACCAGCCAATGAAGGCAGGGGAGGGAGAGCCTCTCTCTCTCTGCTGATTTCACAGAAAAAATAGTGGAGTCCCCTGAGGGGCTGCCTGTTGACCCCTCTTCTCTGCTGCAAACTTTCACACACCTGCCTTTGGGGTAGGCCAGTCCCCAGAGAGAGCCTAGGTTCCAGGGGGTAAACCAGGGTATCCTGAGGGTACCGGGGGTCCTCTGGGGCTGAAGGAGTGGACAGGGGTTGCAGTGAGGGATGGGCACAGCATGACTGGGGGGGGGGGTAAAGGTGAGTTTTGACCTCTGGGGTAAAGGAGCCTGAGGGAAGAGGAAGTTGAAGTAAAATGGAAAAAAAAAAAACTTGGAGCAGTGAAGGAATCTGATCAGACTTGAATTCTAGGGGCACCAGGAGAAAGGGGACAGGGAGGCCCTGAGGCAGCCCGGAGGCCCTGTGACTAGGGAGGTGGAGACAGCTGGGCCCTTTCAGCACTGGCTGCCCTGAGGCCTGGGGCTGGAGGCTGGGAATAGAGGCGGCTGCCGACTCTTAGGCTTGAAGGAAGCTCGGGACAGTTTCACTGTCGTTATTATTCATGACCACAGTGGAGCAGAACTGAAGCTCGTGCTGCAGCCCTTTAGAAACGGCTCTTTGTGTGAAGTCCATGCTCAGGGCTTTCTGCTCCCAGAACAGCCAGTGCTGTCTCTGGACAGCCACGCTGCTGGCTGAGGTCAGAGGTGAGGCCCCTCCAGCTCCCAGTCCTGCTGCAGGCTCATTAAAGCAAGTTAGAAAGAAGCCTGGGGCTGAATGTGCCCGCTGGTCTCACGCCCCCCCTGAGTCACAGCCCTGAGTCACAGAAGCCCCACTGCTCCCAAACACCCCGGGGGAGTGTCTGGCTTAGGAGAACCAGCTCCGATGGGTGTATGGAACCAGCCTCTGCCGGACCTCCCTGCAGAACTGAAACTGGGGTTTTTTCTTGCTTTTTTTCTTTCTTTTTTTTTAAGATTTATTTATGCATGCATGCAGAACTGGGGTACAGGCCAGAGGTGCAGGGGCGGTGAGAGGATTCACCAGAGACAGAGTGGGGAGCAGAACAGGCAGATCAGTGACATACCCTGCTGAGGGGAGCAGCAGGTGGGTCAGGAGAGGTCTGCCGGGCCATGTGGGTCACCTCCGGGGCGGGGATGGAACCAGCACTGAAGAGTCTGATGCTAGCTTGCTGTGTCCCAACCTGCTGCGCCACCAGGGAGGCCCGAAACTGTGGCTTTTAAGGAAGTGGCAGGAGTGACTCAGGGAGGCCCCTCCCACCTTCGGCCTGTCACTTCCCAGCACTCACCTCTGTGGAGTGGCTTACTCCCTTTGCCTCACCTGTTGCCACCGCAGCCACAAGAGGAAAATGGGGGCGTTGGTGATGAGAAGAGAGGTGGGAGAGAGGGAGGTAAAGAAACCAGGGAGCACGTATGGACTCTGGGGACAGATAGGGCGACGGCTGCCCTTTGGAGCAAGAATCACGTCAGAGGCCAGGGGCTCCTGGGCCCGACACGGCTGTTTACCCGGGACACAGGGAGCCACACGCAGCAGCCATCTTAAGAGCTAACACAGTGAGGACGACAGACAAGAAGTTTTCATACAGAAACTGGAACGAGAGCCTCTGGCGATGTTTGCAAGCTGATGTTTGGGAAAGAGATCATCTTGCATGACCTGACAATGTCAGGGAAGGAAACACTTGGATTTAAGCAAATAAAAAGGGCTGTCCGGAACGGGTAACTGGCAGTCAGGCCCAAGTCCTTGTCCTTTTTGAAGGGCTTTCTCTTCACACCTGTTCCCCTTGTGCGAAACAAAGCCAAGCCTTTCAGAGCTGGATGAACGAACCTCTGCTGTGAGCCCCACATTTCCTATCCAGGTCAGGAGCTGCCTGGGGGTGCAGCCCCCAACCTCCCCAGACAGACTTAACAGGTATCAGGCATGCTTTGGGCCTGCAGCTGGTGAACACCCCGGTGGCTGATGTGGGGTCCACTCGTCCCAGCTGTCCTGAGGCACAGGCTCTCGGGAGCCTCTAGGCCTTCTGTGGGGTAAGTCACCTGAACCTCTGCCTAAAGATCTCGCCCCCCAGGGGTCTGATCTACCAACAAGAGTGCCTAGTGATTCTCAGCAGGGGTCTGCTAAGCAATGGTTTCTAGAACACTCTCCTCGCCCCCCTGCCACCCCCTCCCCCAAGAGACCATACATCATGTGGTTAGCTCCCTTGCCAGAACCAGCAGAGTTACTGATATAAAACAGTTGGGCCACTGTGTGGCCCAACGTGCCTGCATGGATTCATTTTTTTTTTTTAAAGATTTATTTATTTGTGCTTACAGAACTGGGGTACAAGCCAGAGGTTCAGGGGCGGTGAGAGGTTTCACCAGAGACAGAGTGGGGAGGAGAACAGGAAGATCGAGGAAGTACACTGCTGAGGGGAGCAGCAGGCGGGTCAGGAGAGGTCAGCCAGGCGGGTCAGGAGAGGTCAGCCACGCCACGTGGATCTCCTCCAGGGCAGGAGGGGATCGAACTCATGCGGAAGTGGCTTCAGCTTCTTAGTGCAGCGCTTTAACCCGCTGCGCCACTAGGGAGGGCCCCTATGGATTCATTTTTGTCAAAACTACAAATGAGGAGAGCTAAGGAAAGCAGCGAAAATGTGCTGTTCAAAAAAAATCACATTGGATACTTTCACGGGCGCATAAAAATTTAATGTTTGGGGGCAGCAATATGTTAAATTCCTGGTGAACAAATTCAATCACCACGTTTTTCATGTTCTTTGTCTACAATAGTGACTTTAGCACAAAACACGGAAGATATTTCCTTTCTTTTAAAGTCTATGTTCTGCATTTTGGCGTTCGGTCCCGAAGACAGAGAGGATTCCTCTGGAATGCCATGACTGGCGCATAAGCTTGTCACATCTCTGGCTAAAGGGCCCAGAGCAGCTTCTGGCCTGATTCCACTTTTTAAGATGGAGACACACTCTCCTTGCTGCACCCACCCTGGCAGCCTGCGGTGGGCAAGAGCCATTTACTTGAGAGAGGGTTGGGTGGACACCACTGGCAGGAACCCAAGCACATAGGTTAATCCAGTTTGGCAAGAAAAACTGAATTGCACTTTCAGTTCTGGGGAAGTTGTAGCATTAATGTTAATACCGAAGAAACTGCACAGAAGCTGGACCTTGGTGAAACTTTTTAATATTTTCTCTAAATAAAGTGCAACCAGCGTGGAGGAAGCATCTCAACACCAGCCCCGGCGGCCTGCAGAGCTCACTTGCTTCTGTGACTCAGGCGCCCACCTGACAGCAATTCCACTCAGTCAAAAGACGAGTAGGGGCCCTC